AGAACTAAGTGCTTTAATAACTCTCTTCTCTTTTAGCCTATGGATCTTTAAAGGTCAGAATGTTTTATTCACTCCTGATGCCTCAAGGAGCCTAATACTGTGCTTGGCGTTGGTGTCACCTTTGACTTCATTGGGAAGCTTGTTCTGGTTTTTCTGGAAAGAATTAGGTGTTTTTCTCACATGCCTAATAGGTGCCTGAGTCAATGTCTCCAAAATAGGCTGTAGGCTTCTTGAAGGCACTGACTGTGTTTTTCAGAGTTGAATATGAGGTGGGATTAAAAACTATGGTGGTGAATGTTTATATTTTCAAAAAGCTAGTAACTAATAAAAAAGCAAAAAATAAATAAAAAAGAAAAAGAAAAAAAAGAGAAAAAGAAGTTATTACAGTAAAAGATACATTGCCATGAATCCCCCTGAAAATACTCCCCCTCACTTTGAACACACTTCTCCCATCAGTCTTGCCACTTTCTGAAGCAGTTCTGGAAGTCCTCTTTCATGAGTGTCTTTATGAGCATTTGAGAGATGACGTGCGTAGAAAACTGGGAAGTGGGCAGTTTCATCCTCCATCATGACAACGCCCTGTGTCACACATCACTTCTGGTATATGGCAATTTCTGTCAAATAAAAACATTATGGTGTATCCTCATCCACCTTATTCACCAGATCTGGCACTGTGTGACTTCTGGCTCTTCCTCCAAGTTAAAATGACCATGAAAGGTAAACATTTTGAATCAATTCAGGACATCGAGGCAGCCACAACAGCACAACTAAACACACTCACGAAAGAGGACTTCCAGAACTGCTTCAGAAAGTGGCAAGAATGATGGGATAAGTGTGTTTGAAGCGAGGGGGAGTATTTTGAGGGGTATTAATGGTCATGTGCCTTTTATTGTAATAATATTTTTACTTAAACAGGCACCATATTTTTTTTTATCATACCTTGTACATATGACTTGAGGCATATAGCAAACATTAAAAAAAAAAAGAAAAAGACAATTTTCTGTTGCACAAAGTGCAAAGGGATATTGGAGTTGAGATGCTGCTATGTACGAAATCAGGTGTAAAATACCCTTCCTTTTGGGTACAAATACTCAGGGGGATAAAATTTCTTCAAGTCTAGGTGATCCTGGTTATCCTGAGGAATGCCGTAAGTTCAGTTAATTGAGGTGAGGACTTGGCGGGGGGGAGTCTCTGAACTTATAGTTTGACCAAAACTTACACACGGTGAGTGTCAGAGGGCCCTTTTAATAAATGGTGAAATTAATTGAAGTATGGGAAAAGGAGGCTTGTTTAGTGCCTCAGAGCCAAGGCCAGTTCCCCTTACTCCCAGTTTTGTACTCTTCACAAGGCACCAAACTGCACTTGAAAGCCATCAAGCAGCTCTGCTCC